CTTTTATATAGCCAACGTGAAGTATAGCTAACGAACATATATTCCCGACAAAGTCAAATTTGTAATTACTTTCTAATGGTAAGAAAATCGTAATACAAAAAATTAAATTTTATGCAAGTTTTTTTGAATAGGAGTATGTTTTTCAAGATAACAACACCTTACACCATATTGAGGTATGAGTGTGAATGAATGATATAGAATATTCACACTTACATTCAACCGCTCAATAAATTTCCTTACATTAACTTCAATATTTTAAGAACCGAAATAAAACAGTCTTTTTCTGAGTATTATAATAGCTACGACTCGTTGCGCCAATCAAAATTCTTGGATTTTTCTTATCAGTCCGAAACAGTAAAATAATGTGCAAATAAAAGCTTCTAAAGAGGGGATCGAGCGAGAAGCCATACGATTATCGCTTATCTTTCTGAAGAACGGATAAAAGTACAACGAATAACTTCACTCACATATTGTGCTTCCTACTAAAAAGTAAGAAAGAATTTTGCTTTCGAAGCAAAATAATACATCGATTTTTTTCCAACTATGATGCTCTTTCAGACCACAGTAATAGGCGCTCAGTTAAACCATCGGTATCAATGTCAAAGCTTGAAAATATACCCACACAACTCTGATACTGAAAGCAGATGTATACTTAAGTATCCAATGATGGAGTTTTTACAGGTACATGCGTGCATACTGAGATGAGAGCAGAAAGACCTGGTCTCTATTCGCTCAGGAAATGGATGTCGAACGAGAAAACTCGCAAATACAATAATATCCAAAGTTGCCTCAAATCTCGCGACTTTAGTTTATGAAGACGAGTGGATGTTGTTGTTCATCTTTGGCTCACCAACTTGAGGGTGTGGGTGTTGAAAGAATAAAGTACCCACCCATACCCACCTCTTCAATGTTTTTTTGGCCCTGCGAACATACAATCAATCAAGCGGACAATTTATGATTACTGGACTCTTCTCTACGAGGAGGAGACTATCTGAAATTAGAAAAGAAAAGCAATTGCAAATGTTTGCGGGAGAAGATATATCAACATTAAAATCAATGATAAGTACAAACCTTATTTCATACTACATATATTGATTGTATAATATACCAGAAGTATCATTGAATTAGTTTATCCTTTTTTTCATGTTTTCTTCCGTTGTCAAGCAATGAACTCCAATAAAAATGTTCATGTTTAATACTATTCGTGTTCTCTTTCAACCATGGATAAACATCAATGACTCACAGAGAAGGAAAGAGAAGAATAAATTTCCATAGATATGTTTTTCTGATAAAACATATAATACAATCTATCTTCCGATTTGAATATAAACCATTGATTTATGTCAAGAAAGACATTTTACAGAAAAGAAAAACAAATAACTGAATTAACATATTCTACTTATTACAGTTTGTCATAAATCACAAAAGCAAACTGATTTTCAAGAATAAGATATGTATTTCGCATGCAAATTCATCCTATAAATAGTCTGTAAACGAAAAAAAAAATCGAACTATTAGTTTGACATTATCTAGAGAACTTAATTCATGGACATTTTTTTCAATCATATAAGTTAGGTAATGTTTATATAGATACATTCATAATAGATTGATTTCTACTTTTAATTCTCAGTAGATTCTATATAGAATTACGCCTACGATATTGTGATAGGTCGTTTTCTTGAAAATATCAAATTTTACTAAATAATCTGGGAAGTATCATATGTCAACAGGAATAATTTATATTCATATATGACATAAATATATATTTAGGTGATATATAAATTTTAAATGAGATGTACTTGTAACATACGCTTTGAATATATCATCATAGTTGGAGTTTTGACATATTATTTTTATAGATAGATTATTTATGTTTATAAGACTATTATAATCTACTAAATATATTAACAACAACAAAATAGTACATGAAACAAGTTTATTAAAATCAATTTCTAAATCTTTTCAATATTTTTATAATTTCAAGAATTCTATTCATGCACATAAATAATTGAAAAAATTTAAGTTTCTTTTTGAATGATTTAAAATATTATAAATTGCTATTATAATAGTTCTTATAAATACAATATTTTCATTCACATTACGATATATAATAAAAATCAAGTTATTTAATAAAACAATTTTTAATCGTCATCATTGCTTCTGTCAATAAACTCTTTAAAAACGTTTATTCCATTCGTTCTCTTTCATCCATTAACAATTCCCACGGCAACAACTAACACAGGAGAACACATTCTGAAGTGTTTCAAACGTATTCTTTATGATGTTCATTTGAATTATTAATTAATAATAAAATATTTATTTTTAATGTACTCCTACTCTAATATTATTTATTTCTTAAAAAAATTCTCAGCTTCGAAATTTCAATAAAAAAATCGATAGACAACAGTTAAAAAACGTTTATGGAATACAAATTAAAAAACAAAAAAATATCATACAATTATTAGAAAAGTTGTTACACACAACACATTTAAAAACTAAACACAAAATAATGAAAAAGAAAACACAAAAACTTAGAAAAAAACATAAGAAAATTACAAAAATGAATCTAAAAAAATAACGAAAGTAACTGAATTTTTTTACCTTCAAAAAAATAATAAACTTTCATCTAAAACATTTTATAATAAAAATAAATTTAAAATATAAAAGAAAAATTTTTCTGAATTAAAAATTACTTCTCAAATACTTAGCAATTAATGTTTAAAATATTCGTGGAACGTTATATATATATATATCTTTGTTTTGTTCCGCCATTTTGATCTTTCAACGAACTCTATAATGGAGGAAATACTACAAAACGCGTTCGGAACGGATGAACTCTACCGAACGCGTTACGGCACGTTGAGAACGCATTTTTATACGTTTTTCCGTTCAGAACGCGTTCTTTATCAGTTGGTCTCGACGTGGGGCGAATCATAAAAAATAAGATCGTCTGATTGATTATTTAATTTTTCCCTATTCTTTCTTTTTCTTCTTCTTCTAAGGATATTATTATTCTAAATAATGTGTATGCATTTGTTCTCAGTACTCTCATTAATCACATATGTCATCCTAGAAAAATAAACCAGTATTTTGTTTTTTTAGATGCAACGTGTATGTTTTTGTAAAACAGTTTCTTTATTTAATCATGTTTTACAACCAAGTCAAGCAATAGCACTTTTTTATCAATCATTCATATTTTCATTAAAAAATCTTGCACTTATTCGATGGATTAGTTCAACAATTGATATACCAACTGGTTTACAATTACTTATGATTGATATTAATGGCAATGTTACAATTGATGATGACTTATTTTATAAACAAGTAACGCTCGTTGAGGACTCGCTTAGCTCTTTCTCGTAGAAATACATTTTCTTCATATTTACTGAAAAAACGAATGAAAACCGTGAAAAATTGATTTTCGATGTTTTTTTACCTTTGACCCCTTTTCGCCCAGCCCTTCCACACGATCACCCAATAGACCTCAAATTCCAAGTCCACGCATCGAAATACCGCTAGAAATGTCTTTTTCAGATAATCGGTTTTCGATGTTTTTTAGACCCTGCGGACACATAAGTAATCAAGCAAGCAGACAATTTGTATTTATTGGACTCTTCTCTACGAGAAAGAGAACAATTATCAAATTTTTACAATTGATGATGATTTACTTTATAAATAATTATCAAATTTAAAACGTAATAATAATTCCTTTGTTTTTTTGTTTCGATAGAAATAAATTCTATTATTGTTTAGATGATGTAGAACAACAACAAACAGATACGATTTCGGTAAGAAATTTTGTTAGCAAGAAAAAAAAATATGTATTGTTATTTAGATTTTAAAATGGATAAGTCGAATTGTATTACGATCAGCAAGTGATTGTTCAATATCATCAAAGTCAGATCGTTCAATAGACTTTGAATTCTTCAATGATTTTCTTAAACAATTTCATAGTTTGTTATACTTAAAAAGATTTATTTCCTTAGAATTTATTTTGTTTTAGCATGTACAAATGATGATCGATCAGCATTGTCAGATGATGATGAAGGAATTAGTAGTGATGATCTTGATGATGAAGATATTAGTCGAAGAGCTATTCATAGAGCTTTAATGGTACATATCGTTTGATTTGTTTTTTAAAATATGAACATTTATTATTATTAATCAGTTTATGTGTCTTTTGATTTTTCTTCAGATCGATGGCATAGCCATGCATCATTAGTTAAATAGACAGCGCATATCAGAGTGTATGTCATTGATCTGAAAAAATATTCGTTTAAGAATATATAGATGTACAGTAGTATGTACTTTTTCTTGTCTGTGAAAATTAGACGCATGAATGATAGTAGAATAGATAATATTATTTTTACTGTTTTTTTGTTTGACTGACATTAATGCTATCATTTTACTCATCGTTGATTGAAATATGATAGAAAAATCTTATTATAGATAAAAAATTTCTTATTAGATTCATTAAGATCATATAACAAATATTATTTTGAAAAAGCTAGATAAATCTCGTTCTTTCTAATATAAAACGTGAATTGTATCTCAATAACAATGACAAGAATCTTGAGGGTGTGAGTATTCTCCTCTTTCATTAACCACACCCACACCCACCCTCAAGATGATTAAGCCAAATTCCATACAATCGAATTTAAAACAAGTTAAATCAATACAAGAAGTACCAACAAATAATGATCCATAACAAACATTAACAACAATAGGAGCAACTGGTGGCTCACAACGTGTTAGTTTATCACGCCATCATCTTTTCCTTAAACTTCAACTAGCATATGATGTTAAATTAAATCATATTAAAACCGGTTGATAAATTACATTTTATTGTTCCGCATTTCGATCCGGCTTGGCATTTTGCATCATGTGATATAAAAGAAATAAATTAAAGTATTCATATTTTTTTTTCTGAAAATATTCTATCTATTAAACTAGTCTTTATATACATGTGTAATATTATGATTTTGTCAGTTGTTCGTTCTTTTGTATCTATACAAAATATGTTGAGTATCTTATCTTTTCCCCTTTTTTTCTCTCTTTTGAGTATGTAAATAAAACATGTATGGAAATGTTAACTTTAACAAAAAAAATAAAGAAATTATAAGTATTTAATATATATATATATACAATATTTTATATTTGTGAATTTGCTCATAGATTATTAAAATTTGGTCGTGACAATTCTTAATTGAGCTTCAACATAAATTAATATTACCATTAGAGGTATGTTAAATTCTTAAAATTTTCAGTAAGAAAAGAATAGTCATGCTTTTTCTAATTTTATAAAGAAAATATCAGACTTTTAGCCAAAAAAAAGAAGAAAATTAAAAATAGAAATTAATATGTATGACATATATTATAAAAAGAAGAAAAAGATATTACACATTTTTTTCATAACTACATAGAAGAAATATGCATGAAGAATGTCTTATTGATTACGACGTAATCATATTAGACTAGTTGATATTCCAGATAACATCTCACATTGAAATGTGACAAATAGAAACTTTATATTTGATATCTCATTATTATATATTTAGAGATGATATACGGATAAAATCAGAGTTGTTTATCATAACTTTTGAGTAGCATGCAAATCTTTCTTGTTATCTGTTTATCGTCAAAATATAATCATACTACGCCTGGTCGATCGTATTAATGGGTGTGGGTGTGGTTAATGAATGAGGAGAAAACCCACGTCCACACCCACCCACACCCACACCCACACCCACACCCACACTTCTGTATAAATATTGGAAAACCTTGTTTTCTATTTCTTCATAGTACTCTAAAAGGATTTAACACTTTCTGTAAATTCTATTCTCTATCTTGACTTCTATAAATAAACACAAATCTATATAGTACTAGTGTCAAACAATAAAAGTGAACAATGGTTAATTCACGAAACGAAACAAATCATCATGATCAAATAAAAAAGCAACAAAAGATCCTGATTGTTTGTGTAGCAATCATGTTGGTAAGTTCTTTTTCTTTGTATCAAAATTCTTAATAGGAGTATTCATATGAATGTGTAGGGATTATGTATAGTGACATGCATCGGTCAGAACGTCAAAATAATAACCGGTAAAAAAACAATACCGGGAATATATCCGACAGAACTTATGGCATATTCTGCTCATCAAAGTACGTTCGTTCTTGACTAGATTTTATGACAAATTTTTGTATTCTTCCTGATACTTCTTTAAATATGCAGTATTGATTCAAAAATAATGAATTTATTTCATTATTATATTCTATTTTTGGGTAATTAATGTATTTAAGAAATAATTACAGTATTGATAGTATATTTTGTAGGAATTTTTCCTCAGCAGAAAAATCAAAAGGAATTAATGATGTGTCGTTTCGACCAGAAATTAGTCTATTCTCTTTTTTTCGTAGATCTACGATAATTGTCAGACAAGAACCATTAGCTAAACAGTATCATATATAACTTAAAACTATTTTGGACCTTAATTTGATTTTAGATTGGATAGAAATAGTAATAGAATTGATCTGTCTTTACTTTATAATTAAATTAGACCGCATTGGCATACAAATCGTAAGTATATTGACTGATCTGATTTCGTTTTAGAATCATATAAATCGTTCTTCATTTTGATTTGTTTCAGTTTGGTTGGATCTATGTTGCTTTTTTTCTTTTAATAGCAATTGGTTCTGTGTTTGCTTTCATTTATGGCATCAAATTAGCAACATTGGTTCTAGAAAAAGAAAAGGTACCTATCAGAACTTTTTTTGGTTTTGTACTTTAACCACAGATCGAAATTCTGCAAAAAGGTTCTGTAAAGGAGAAAAGATCCCGTAGAGACTTACAAAACCTTTCTTCGGAGACTCGGTCCATGAGTAAAATCCTGAATCATATTAAGTTCTGACAAGCATCATTTTTTTCAGGCAAAGGAAACTGATAATTATAATGATAAACCTCTGCCATCTCTCGATATCTGGATGATTATTGTTGGCTTGCCTGCTTTTATTATATTGGTAAGTGACGATATTTTGTCTTTTAGTAGAATCTTAGTTATATTTTACCTTTAGATTATAAAAACAAAATACTTATTCAAATTGAGCAAATTATTAAAACAACAAAATGATCAACTTGTCTCTCAACAAATTCCACTCGTTTGAAAAAGACTGAATGTCATTATATTAGAGATGCGAATATTTTATTATATGAGTGTTATCAACATTCTATTATGATATTTTAGATGTACACGTCTCCCTACATTTTCCTTCTTTTTTTATCTTATCATATATGTATCTTTATATTCAAGAGAAATATATACATGAGTGGTTATACTCTTCCACATCTTGAGGATGTGGGTGTGGGTGTGGGTGTGGATATTATCTTTACACTATACCCACCCACACCCTCAAAATATTATATTCACCATTTTTTTCAAGTCACAGCACACTCTTATTATCATTAAGAATTATACTTGGCTCCGATATCATAGGGTACATGAGAATCTGAATTGCTTGTCTTTGATCATCTTCATACATAGCTTCGTTCATACCTTCACGTTGTTTGAAAGTGTGGCTGATTATTAAGTCAAACATTTTCATGCTGGATCAGAAATATCTAATAATCTCTATTGACAAGAGTTTTCATTTCATTCGAATATTCTTTCTACTAAACTATTAAATCTTGACAATACAGTAATTGTAAAATAATAATTCTAAGGCATACTATACTTATGATAAAAAGAAAAACTTGTTTCTATACAATATTTAACGTGCTCCTGTGGCATAAGCGGTAAATGCATCCGGCTGTTAACCGGAAGACAGGTGGTTCGAATCCACTCGGGAGCTTCATTCCTTTTTTTCTCTCATAATTCTACTTGATATTATGTTGAAAATAATTGGGCTATTGCGACAGTTTTCGTCATTTACAACCAAAAACACAACAAATACCTGTATGACTCATAGTTTTTCTTTCTTTACTTCTATACTATACTCAAAATTTCGTAATTTAACGAACATAATACATGTATATTACTGTCGATAGAGACGTTTATTGTACCATGTTGGGGGTGTGCGTGTGAGTGCGGGTGTTTTCGCTCTGTAAACCCACACTCACACCAAAAGCAAGAAAGAAAAGAAACTCTCGTTAACATTCGTCGTTCCTTAAATATTTGATATACCATCTTGAGGGTGGGTGGGTGGGTGTCGGTGTACAGAGCGAAAACACCCGTACCCACACTCACACCCACACCCTTTAATTGGCTGTACAAGAAGAGGTCACTGTACAACGACCTAAAATATACTATGTGTACTAAATATTTAAAAAGAAACAGGAAAAAAACTCTGATTATAAGTGAAAACTATCGCATTACGATGAATAGAAAAGATATCATTCTTTAACAAAAGCTTATTACTTTTGTATCTTGAGGGTCTGGGGGTGCCTGTGATTCTAAAAGAAGATAAAATCTACTGACACCCACATCCGCACCCACACTCACAACCATCCTCGACTGATCTTCTAAATCTTTTAATAATATTAAAAAGAAAAAGAATCGAGAAGAACAACATGATGATGTCATCACTGAAGAAGATGAAGAAAATGAAATTGAATTCGAATAGGAAATACATTTGTGAATAGTTATTTAAATAAATGTTTTATTTATTTTCGACATGAAATTTTTGTTATTCTTATTAATAAAATCGTTGAATTTAATGAAAAAGAAGTGAAATAATTAAATTCAAAATCATGAAAATCTAATCAATATTTATCAAAAGATGGGTATGGGTGTGTTAGTATGGATGGACAAACATTACACCCGCCCTTGGAACTATTTCATGGAACAAGAATTACACCACCTAGTAAAGTTTACAATGACGATTATGTTTTCGATATGACATTTACCTCCAGTGGATTGTGGGGAATTGGTATCTATTTTGCCAAAAATGCATCATATTCTTGTGG